GAGTTTTAAACATAAAAATTTAAATGTACTACACTACTACGTAGTATTAACTTTTTAATCTCACTCTTGATCAGCACCACGATCGCGGACGTCTCCCTAGGTCTCTAGGGTTTTGTTTCATCTAGCGCCGCTCTTCTATCTCAATCGCAGAGGGAGGGTTCGTGCGCTTGGCAGCGTGATCGATCGATTGAGACTTTTGCTTTTACTGTTGTTTCGACTTTGGTGGAAACAATTGTGCGTTTTTCTTTTTACTTGCAGGAGGCCGAGAGATTTCCCAATTTCTCGATAGGAGAGTTTTGCCCAACAATTCTTGATAGCAAGTTTCGGACTTGGATATCGGGAATGGAGGAGATTGCAAATAAATGCAAGGAATTGATCATCGAGAATCAGGGAGAAGAACTGGTTTTTGAGGATGATGTACTTGAAGAGGAGGAAGACTCGGCCAAACAGGAAGTGTATCCGGTGATAGGGACTGTGATCACAAACAAGATGGTGAGATTCTCAGCGCTTCGTGATCTTATGGCCTCTCTGTGGATGCCGGGTAAGGGGATCTCCATTATGGAAATCGACGACAAAAGGTACATGTTTACATTTTATCACCCTTTAGATGTGAAACGAGTACTTGAAGATGGACCATGGATTTTTAAACAAAATTTGCTAGTTCTCCGGGCACTACAACCCGGGGATGTTCCACTCCGGGTTCCTCTGAATGAGGCCGAATTCTGAATTCATGTTCATGATATTCCTTATGATTTTATGAATTTGGGGGTGGCTAGGAGAATTGGAAAATTTGTCGGAAAATTTGTCAAATGGGAAAAACCTCAGCTTGATAAAAAATGGAAGCCGTATATGAGAGTTCGGACTTGCTTGGATATTGGAAAACCCCTTAAGATTGGAACCACGCTCAGGAAGGGACAGGGTGAAGGACACTGGGTTGACTTTAAATACGAGAAGTTTCCTAGTTTCTGTTTTTCTTGTGGTATTATAGGACATTCTGACAGTTATTGCCCTCTACCCTATGAGAAGGAGGATTCTGACACCACTAGGCCGTATGGTGTCGGCCTGTGAGCTGGAGGAGGTGGGAAAGCACGTTTGGAGGGAGGAAACAAGTGGATCATCTCGGAAGGGCCTAGGAAGGATAGTAGGGCAGTAGGAGGATAGGGGGGCATCTCAGGTCCGAACAAGAAGGGTTGGAATCATATTTCAGGTAGCAACCAAAAGAGCGGAAGAGAGGAAGCAGAAGTTGCAACCATGGAGGATAAGAGTGGAGAGCCAAAACGTAGGCGGACTTGGGAAGAGACAGGCGGAGCAGCGGTCGAGGGTGAGACTATTGTGCTGGATCCAAAAAACGGGGAGAAGGCATGTTCAGACGCTCGCCAGACTTTTTGAAGAAGGGTTCAGCTGGGAGCGGGTGCTGGTGCTCGTTCCTTTGCCTCAAGATTCTTTATAATTTCCACGCGTTTTTTATTTTCGAGTTTACTTTTTGCTCTTAGTTTGATTCTTTATAATTTCCACGCGTTTTTTATTTTCGAGTTTACTTTTTGCTCTCAGTTATTGTTCCTTTCAATTACTGTTGTTTTATGTTTCCAGAGTGTTACACTTGGTGGGGGTGATGAGGTATTTACTCTGGCCACATTTGGCTCATGTAAACCCATGATAGGATCAGCGAATCATATTGCTTTTCTTAAGGTGATTGATTCTTCAACTGGTTTGAGGGTTGGTGGTCAGAAGTGTTTACTTTGTCATGATTGTCCCGTGCTGAGTGTTTTATTATCAATATAAGCCTCCCAGTTACAAAAAATATCTCACTCTTGGGTCTACCTGGATAAATTTGTGATATTAACCAAGATTGCAATTCGAGTATCTAGATTAGTCAAGATATTTACGGAATTGGGTAAGTTTTAGATACTTGTTTCGAATTTTCATATATCAGTATCGACTTTTAAAAAATGGAACACTGAAAGCACGTATGTGTAAGAAGTTAAGAACTAAGAATCATTTGTTTTTGGCAAACTAAGAATCAATTTATTAAAAAAAATCGTTATACACATTAACACACGCAAATTATACCGTGGGATCGGTACACCATACACATGTGTACCGACCCCAAAACTACGTAGTATTGTTAATTAAAAAAAGCAAGAAACCCTGGTCAATTAAAATTTGCTGCCGACTTAAGGTGACCAGAGGCCAATGTGATGCTGCAGAGATTTCTTTGTCCATGCTTATTATGTTAGCCGAGGATTCAGGGAAAGAGTTGCAGTACTTTCTCTTACTGATGCAACGAATTGGGAGATTAAAGATTCTGAAAATTTGACATAATCTTCCTTCTAATTTAACTCCACTGGTGTACATACAAAGAATACTGCATATATAAGTATATATGGAAAACACGCTTCATTTGACTATGAGAAGATGTTAAACATTAGAACGAGTTAATCTATGTTCTTTAGAGCAGTTCTTTCAAGAACTTATATATTCATTGTGAAAATATATCTCAAGCAAAATGCTCAATTAGTTATTCAAAATTCATGCTCCAGCATGTAGTGTATCTTCAAGGCAGTAGATTAGAAAATTCCTAATTTAGAACACTGTGTTGTCCGACTTTACCTAAAAATCTTCATCAATGTAGAACTTTTTTAATAAAGGTCTTTCCAACCCAAAAAACCAATTCCGCACAACAATATTATTAGTTCAAATTAAGTTATAGTATCACCAAATCGAATTGAATGAACCATATCACCAAATAAAATTAAAGAGCTGGAGATTTCTAATGGAAATACCTTTTTTCTACTCATAAAAAGTTGTTATTTGTTCTCACAAAAAATGCATCCCATATAAGATATACTGATAAGAACAGAAAAATAACAATCAACGGGGTGAACCGTTGCCCAGAATAATCAACGGAAGAATCCGTTGCCCAAGCTACTTTAGCTTAACCAAATCTGAATTTTTTTTTTCCTCCTCTATTGAATAGCCCTCCGTGGGGTATAAATAATACTGCATATCTCCACGTTCCAGTAGGGCAGTAGGAAACTAAATAAGCTAATTAAATGTATGTAGCCTATCCTAGTGGAAAACAAAGACTAAGGGGAAAGAAATAATTGTACGTAGCTTATCCCAATGGGAATTAGACCTGCACACAAAGTCTAATGGGAGGGAAATTACTTACGTACAAAGCCTAAGGAAAATCTAATAAAATAAATAGCAATAATAAAAGAACTAATATAATTGAAGCTAATTAAATTAAAAACTCAGCCCACGGATAATCCAGCCCATAACCGGCCCACGGAAGTGGGCCCAAGCCCGGTCCCGCCCCATGCTCTTCCCGCTTCATATCAATCCATCCTCCTTCAAATTAACTTTGTCCTCAAGGTTGAAAACTCGCGGATCGGGAACTGAAATTTCCAGTCATAGATAGACTGAAAAATATCCTTCTTCTCTTTCCTGAAAAATATCCTTCTTCTCTTTCCTGAACCCTTTCCTGGCCGGTTATTTCACAGAATTCGTGCTGCTTGAGGTCCAACTCTTCATCCTCCTCGGCTATCATTACTCCCAGCTGCTTAAAGGGACAATCGCACCTAAAGCATAATCCTTTCACCCGCAATTCTGCAAACTCTTTTGGTGCAAGTCGAGTGAACTGAGAGCGTGTCGTAGGCTGCCCGGGCAGCCCTGACTTCGTCCCCGGAGGCTGTCCACTATCTTTCGCAAAGCTGCCCTCCGAACCCTGTAAGCTGCCACCAATGGCCGTCAACGGGGAACTTGTGTGTGCCATTGAAAGGCTGCTAGAACGTACCCCTGAAGAATGATAATTTAGACTGCCTTTTTCTCCTCTTTGGACGGACAGATTATGCTCCACCTCGCGAGCTAATTCCATAGCCATCTCCAGGTTGTTTGGCCGAAGTAGTCGCAGCGAGCTTCGGATTGTTTCCTTAAGCCCACTCATGTAATAGCCCAAGTAATGATCGTCAGTTAATCCCGGAACTTGGCTTGCTAACTGAACAAAAAGAATATTGCAATCCTCCACAAATTCAGTTTGCTTGACTCCGGATAGTCGTTCAAACCTGTTTCCCTGATGTTGGGAATCAAATCTGGCCACCAGGGCTTGTTTGAAATCTTCCCAGCTTATACCGGGTTTGCGTGATCTCAGCCAGGTTACCCAGTAGAGCGCTCCACCTTCCATAGCTACCATCGCGGCAGCCACCTTCTTTTCCGGTAAAGTGTTGTGTAATTCGAACTGTTGCTCTACCCGAGCGATCCACCCAATTGGGTCTCCCCCATCGAACGACGGAAGCAGCGTTATAGTTGGATTGCTCAGCACGCCTTCTCCATGCAGCTCGGTTGCCGGGATTCGACCCACGTCATCCGCGGCTTTCTTCGGTGTGACCGGCGGGACCATCGCCCGGGTCAACACCGCTAGTGAGGCGATGATCTCTGACAGCTTGCCACCATGCTCTGCCTGTTCGGCCCTTATCCGGGTCACTTCTCTCATACGAGTTTGTTCGTTCTCCAGCTCTGTCAATCGATCATTCTGAGATCTCGTCATCTTGGCGGGACGGGATCCGGCAGGTCGGACCAATTGATAAGAACAGAAAAATAACAATCAACGGGGTGAACCGTTGCCCAGAATAATCAACGGAAGAATCCGTTGCCCAAGCTACTTTAGCTTAACCAAATCTGATTTTTTTTTTTCCTCCTCTATTGAATAGCCCTCCGTGGGGTATAAATAATACTGCATATCTCCACGTTCCAGTAGGGCAGTAGGAAACTAAATAAGCTAATTAAATGTATGTAGCCTATCCTAGTGAAAAACAAAGACTAAAAGAACTGCACACAAAGTCTAATGGGAGGGAAATTACTTACGTACAAAGCCTAAGGAAAATCTAATAAAATAAATAGCAATAATAAAAGAACTAATATAATTGAAGCTAATTAAATTAAAAACTCAGCCCACGGATAATCCAGCCCATAACCGGCCCACGGAAGTGGGCCCAAGCCCGGTCCCGCCCCATGCTCTTCCCGCTTCATATCATATACGTAGTATAAAAAAGAGTGATGTGCTACTATTGAATCAGATGAAATTTGACTTTATGCACACACATAAAAAAAAAGCTATGTGTTACTGGTTACTCACGAAATTTAAATGCGTGCTTACTGTAAAATTTGATCAGAACATCACTATTTATACGATAGTATTTGAAGAATTAGCGCTAGATACGTTATTTGATCAGAAAACACCTCATCTAAAAGATGGTCAATTTGAATGGATGAGAAAACTTAACTTTAAGAACAAGAGACTCAGGTAATATTTTCTTGATATAATGGAAGAAGAAAACTCTCAGCCATGTCCTCCCCAATCCCAACAGAAAAATCTCTTATCCACTGCCAAAAGATGGATTTGGCTGACGTTTCCATCTAATCTAAACCCGAAAAAGAATGCTAGTTTGTTGTGAACAGACTAGCCAAAAGGCTAAAACCAATTTTATTCCAAGATGAGCAAGAATGAATCCTAACAAGGGGTTTAAATACCCATTTACTAATTCTCAAACTGGGAAACAAAATCTTAGAAATCCTAATCAATTCCAACTAGGAAACAGAAGAATAGAGATCCTAATCAACTTCAGATGGAAAACAAATAATAGAAATCCTAATTAACTCCTAATAGGAAACAAATATTAGAAATCCTAATTAACTCCAAATAGGAAACAAATCAGGAAAATTAAAAAGAATAAATATTAATTAAACAGCCTGCAACCAGCCCAGGAAGGTGGGATCAAGCCCACCCCGCCTTCAGTAAACCCACGGGGGCTTCTGCTGCCCAGATTCTGCTTCATATCATAGTTCTTCAAAATTGCCCCAAATCAAATGGAAAAGCTTAGCGCAAAGAAGAGGACCGATTGCTCTTGGTGGGAGCTATACCAAGGCCTGAGGTGTGAGGCACTGATGGCTTCGAACGGCGAGGGCAATTTGCTCTTCCATTGCGGCTGAGAGAGGCAGACGAAGCTTGTTGATCTCTTCAATTGCAGCAACAATAGCCGATTTGAATGTGGAGTGTGGAATCCGGAAGAAGAAGAAGAAGAAATCTTCTATAGAAATCACAGGTGTTTCTGGTGGCACTTGGAATTGGAGTGTGCGTCCGGCTGAAGAAGAGAAGAGAAGGCAGATAAATAGGAGCGTAGCATTAGGTGGAAGAGAAATAGGGGCGACTAGTTTTGCAGATACGGAGAAGTTGTCCGGCCAGAAGAAGAAGAAAACAGAAGAGAAAAATATCTTGCTCAAGCGGCGATAGACGGAATAGAAGTGATTATTTTTTAGGAGTGAATTTAAGAAGCAGACCCTGGCATTAAGCAGACCCTGCCTTTAAGTATATAGAGATGATGATTATTATAATAAAGTACGTGAAATATCTGAACTGGAACAAACCAAACACCACTCTCATTTTTTCCCTGGACTTCATAAGTGCACCTATGGCTAGTATTGGCTACCAGATATTAAGGGAATCTCAAGGTCCTAAAGGTGGTCATGAGATGATGAACCATGGAACTTAATGATTTCATGATGTTCAACCTGGAAGAAAATATTGATTAAATCGGTCTTTTTGCAATGATAAACACAAAAGTCACACATATAAGTGAATAATCAGAAATCTCATAGTTCATCACCTTTTCAATTCCAATGCTGTAGCACAAAAATGCAGGTTTCTTTTAAAGAATCGACTTCAGACTTGGATTTATTTGCTAACATGCCAAAGAAGATAAATGATAATAGTAGTTCTATGACTTCAACTCACTCATCTTCTTCACGTATGGCTGCCAATAAATCTGGGCTGCACGGGTGATGAATTCTTACCCCCCTTTCCCTTTACTGTCAGGTAATCAGGTTCATGGTCTCAAGAAAGAGCTGCATTTTTGTAAGTTTTGAGAGGCAGTTTCACAAGTAAACTTATGAGAGGCTGAGGAGTTTTGTCATTTTTAAATTCTTATGAGAATAGAAGTTAAGATGAATTCTAAACTTATAATCAGAGTCATATATTTCATCTAAGTTGCTAATTACTTAATTAGGAATAATAATAATATTAATATCATCGTGGTACTCATTGTTTCTATTCCAGAAAAAAGGCACCCACATATGTGAGAGGGCCAGACCCATGCTATCATATTTTACTCATAAATGAAGAGTGCAAGTTAAGAAGGGGGACGGGGCAGAACCCTCATGCCAACAGCCAACCCCTAAAGCAGAGGAAAAAGACATTTAAAAAATATGCCTAATAGGTGCTAAAACAGGGAGCATATTGTTAGGTAAAATGTAAATAGGCATACTGTTATGAAGATAACAATAGAGTAAATAGAACATGTTATGATATAATCAAATAAACCACTTAATTTATTTAGGGTAAATAAAGTTTTGTTTTCAGAAAAAAGTTCTTAAATGCTCTAATAGAGTAAACTTTTACTCTATTTAATTGCATTTTTTATTGGCAGGCCCAAACTAAGTGTAAATAGGCATATTGTTAGCTAAAATGTAAACAATTTGGAAGAATACACCATACATGTAATAAGAGTAATCAGATCGAAAAAAACAGAAAGATCTGAAATTGAATGAGGAATTACCTTCTCGCACACTCCTGGTCTGCATGGATCACATTAGAGCTCCGAAAATCAAATTTTCAAGAAATAATCTAGGAAAGCATAAATGAGCTCCATGAATGAGAAATTGAAAGGCATAAATAGAGTGAAATGAATAAAGAATGACGGATTGACCATTTGACCTGCATTGCTCTTGCTGCCTTTCGTAGTTCATACTGGGAGTTGTCTGCCTCTTACTTCTATATTGAGTGATTAAACGGCTCGTTAGTCAGTGCTCGTTCATTCTAAAGCTTGCACTGCGCAAAAAGGGAAATAAATGATTTCTCTTCGAGGATCAAAGAAAGAAATGATATAGAAGAGAAAGAGTGTGAGCGTGAAATAGCATCGAACATCTACCTGTGATGGATAAAAAGTGAGAAAAGAAGATATGTTGAAGAAAGGGAATATGAAATTAAAACGTAAATAGGATGAAGAAGTCGGTATTCACATTCACTGCATTAAAAATGGAGCATCTCTGAGATTTGAAGTGGCTGCTCTTGATGGCTACAACTGACTATCAATTGCCAACATACTTGGGCCTCCTGACAACTCTTCACATTCACTGCATTAAAAATGGGAACAAAAATGAGCAGTGAACATTTCCCCACAGTAAAATTATTAAAATCTTTACTGTGTCAATTTTACCTTAAAGAAGACTATGTCAAGCTTAAAAGAAGAGTGATAACCCAAGCTTGGAAGCTTACAATAAGAAAACTTTTTTCCTGCAAAACTAAATTCCAATGTTTTCTTTGAAATTGTCTCGCTTCTTCATTGAGTAGTATTGCTCTTCATTAAGTAGTAATGCTGATTATTTTGATGCTTATAATAAAACTTGCATCATCTAAATCTTAAGAGTAAAGGACACTGAAAATGAGAAATAAGCCAAAGAAGTTTAAAACATAAAAGTAGTGTGATAACCCAAGCTTAGAAGCTTAAAATAAGAAAACCTTTTAAGCTTAAAGAAGACTATGTCATGCTTAAAAGAAGAGTAATAACCCAAGCTTAGAAGCTTAAAATAAGAAAACATTTTCTGCAAAACTAATTTCCATTGTCTTATCTTAGAAGTTTTCATGCTTCTTTGCTTAGTAGTAATGCTGGTTACTTTGATGCTTAAAATCAAAGTCACAACTTTTATCTAAATCTTAAGAGTAAAAAAATTCTGAAATTTATTTTGCTCCCTTTGCTCCTAAAATGATTCCTTATCAAACACATTTTTGAGATCCCAGCCACCATCAGGTTCACTATTGAGCTGATTATTTTGACGCTTAAAATCAAACTCACAATTTCTTGATCTCAAGAGTAAAGAATTCTGAAAATGAGAAATAAGATAAAGAGATTTAAAACATAAAAGAAGGATAATAACCCTAGCTTAGAAGCTAAAAATAAGAAAACCGTTTTTCTGCAAAACTGATTTCCAATGTCTTATCTCTGAAGTTTTCTTGCTTCTTTGCTTAATAGAGTTGTTGATTATGTTTATGCTTAAAAATCAAACTCACATGGGGCAAAAACTATTTCTTTGCACAATCTGAGGTAGGTACAACCGTACAAACGCATTCTGATAAAAAACAAATATAAAAATAACTGTTTTCAGGACTAAATTTGAGGCAAAAGTACCCTAAATGGAAACAGATGCAAACAAATGGAAGAAGTACCTTTTGTCTTGTCAGGGTGTCCCAGTTAAAATTCATGAAAAAAAGAATGTTGCTTGACCTACACCAAGGAGGAAATGGTTATTCTCCTCCAATAAACCCCATGATACTATGAATAAAGTCAATAAACTACAAAGGGAAGTGGGAACATATACTTACACAGAAACAATATAATTGATTAATGAAGCCATCACTTCAGTTGCCCCTTTAGCTCCAAGATAAGTACGTGCATGACTGGATTACGCAAAATCATCATCTCAACTTAATATTTATATGAAATCCCTATGTACTTTAAAACATTTAACATCACTCTATGTACTCATTTCAAGTTTAATGGCAGTCTTGAATATTATACTACTTAGCTTTTTTATTTGTTCGGAAATGGGAATAAGAAAAGAATGAAAACTTTTACCTTTCACTGCAGGATATATTTTCCCTGAAGCAGTGATGATTTCACTAATAAACATAAACAATGTGATTTCACTACCATTGAGTATATCACTAATAAAATTCAGATCAAAGGTTGATAAACATTAAATAGTTTTGTTTTCACTAATAAGCTAAAGTTTCAAAGTTCAAAGTAACGAAAGAAAAGTAGCAAACACAATGAAACAGGCCGGGTGAATGATTATTTTTATCACTTTCCGCTCAAAGTAACCGATTTACACTCAAAAGAGCAAAAGATCATCAATGACTTCTATAAGTTTGGAGTGATGGAACTGTAAAGATTCAGATCTACAAAAGAACACAAAAGATTCCACATTTATGTTTGTTTTATTTTTAAAAATAAATTCAGATCATCTTACATAATATGGATATAGCAGCGAGCATTCAATTCTGAATATTTGGGTCTTTACAATGGAAAATTGGATATTGAGAAGGGAGAGGCAATGTAAATACATGGAATAAAATTTGTAACTATGGCCAAACTGGTTCGGAGGGAGAAGTGAGGTGAGATGTCTGAACAAGAGAAGTCGGTGAAGGAGAAGTGACAAGTTGAGCGAAAGAAATCTGAATTGAGAGATTTTAATCGCAGATGACACAGTGATTAAAGCCAAATTGCTATTTATTCATAAAGATGAGATGGAAGTGATTCTTTTTCAAATATTTGTTCGTGTAGGGCTATCATCGGTCGGACTCCTTCATCTAGTCTGACTGAAAGGCCGGAAAGCGCGAAGCAATAACCCAGAGCGAGACAACTAAAGCCGGGGATAAAGGGTTTGGTGTTAGGGACCCAACTAGTCTAAGTGAAGGGGACAAATTCTATGGGCAAGTCTATGTACGAAAGCCTAGAAAATAGACTAGGTTAGTTAGTTATTAGTTTTATTGTTGAAAGCTAATAACTACCATTCTGTTGAGAATGCTATAAATAGAATAAACACTGCAGGATTAGGCAGGCTGTTTCTAGACTAGTGTCTTGGCTAGGAAGTTAGAGTTTTATCTCTTTCTTTGGGAACTTGTGTACGGTGTATCTCCATTGATATCAATAACAGATTTCTTGATTTCTATTGTTGATTTTTGTTAATCTTCTGTATTGGATAGTGTTACTCTATCATTGGTATCAGAGCAAAACGATCTTGTTACCTGTAGACCTATACATGGTAGGAACAATGGAAAATTGGGAGCACACGATGGAAAAGATGCGTGAACAAAACAGGAGGTTTTGCGACAATATGCGCGAACAAAGCAAGCGGTTTTGAGAAGAGATGAGCAAATTAACCGTGCAAATAAACAATCGGCACTCACAAGGAAGATCGAGGACAAAGTCGCAGAAACAATCGCAGAAGGAGTCGCGAAGGTCGCAGACAGAGTCGCCGAAGAATTCTCACCATACGCAAAATTCCTCATCGCAGTCCAAATCGCGAACTTCTTCTCATATGTCACAATCGCGTACAATTTCTCACCAGGCACAGAATTTTTCGCATCATTCTTCGCAGGGTTCTTCCCATTGATCTGAGCATACCTCTTCCCATCGCTCTTCGCATAGCTCTTCTCGTCATACTTCGCATCATCACTCGCGAATGACAGATCGATCTAGAAGTAGATCGCACACCTCAGCTGCATCACCTCGCTCATCTGCATCGTTTCGCCCTTCTCACCATCATCAATTGCAACACTCAGTGAGTTCAGAGGAATTGAAAGATCAGAGGCGTCGCAGAAGAACTGAAGAACGATCGAGGAAGAATAGGTCTCTTCCGCTAACTGACAAACAAGGTTCATCGCATCGCTCTTCGCATCATCATTCGCGGAATTTGTCACCGGCTATCAGTTCGGTTCCAATTAAGACGCGAGTGAGGGGAGAATATTCCTCCTCGCCAGTCCATTCTCACTGTTCACGTTCTTCATATCAAGTCGCTCCTCCAAGTTCACAAGCAATTTCTTCAGGACCTCTGGTTTCTAGGAAAACAGAAGACCCCATTTCGCAATATCCATTTGAGTCCCCTGAATTGCATCAGGAGTTGACTAATCAACAGATTGGTGACAAGGAACACAAGAAGAAATCATCAGATAACTTTGAACATGAAGCTGGTGCTGTTGCTGAACTCACCAGGGGTAAGATTTTTTTCAAGTACGATCTGGACCAGCCAAACCTTGAAACGAATAGGTTCAAGTTTCTTCAGATAGGTAATGTTCCTTCTCACCTTGTACAGCTGGTGAACTGGCCAAATGTCTTCAACACTGAAACAATGGGTTGTCAGTCATCAAACATTACGTTAGAAGGAATGAACAAGTCTTAGAGTGGAAAGGGTTACTTCTAGGAAGATTTTTCAAAAGGAATTGGTGAATGATGTGTCTATGGATAAGTATGTTGCTGATTCTGACAGCCAGGATCAAGTTATTGCGGATAAAAAGGGGGTAAAAGTTCAGAGTATCTTAGCAGGGTAGTTGGGAAAGAATGATCCACAGATTTGTGCATTTGAAGGATCAGTCTTCATTCACTCCAATGTCAAATCTGGGATGGGAGTTAAGGGCTGCAGTTTGACACTTTATGCAAATTGGGGCTCCTGTAATTATAGATTGAAAGGGGCTGATGAATTTACTTTTGAATATCAGTTGGTTACATGAGTATTGTCATGGGATTGGAAGCTGAAGCAAATTTTCAACCTTACAATATGATCTTAGGCTCCAATGAACCAGAACTGAACTGTTCCACTTGTGCTCTTGTAAGGGAAACCAAGCTAAATGTAGATGCTGGAATTATAGAAGTGGAACCCTACTTGATGGGAAAAAAAGTTATAGCTATACCTCAGTATCAATGTGCTGGTTATCAATGTGCAGTTCCTTCCTTGCTTGTCAATACACCAGTATACATCCGGCAGTACATGGCATCAGGATCCAGAGTGGTGGTGGGGTTTGTAAGCTGCCAGACATCTTTGGAAAGGTTCATGGTCTCACAATCAGTTTGATATTGGGAAAGGAGAGGAACAAGGAAGAGGAAGAGGAAGCAAAAGATTTTGGCTTTCTCCTATTACCCACCTTGAGGACAATGTGGATGTTTAGGAAGGGAGTATTGATAGGAACCCACTTATAGTAGACTAATAATAGAAGTAATAGTAATAGTAATAGTAATAGTAATAGTAATAGTAATAGTAATAGTAATAGTAATAGTAATAGTAATAGTAATAGTAATAGTAATAGTAATAGTAATAGTAATAGTAATAGTAATAGTAATAGTAATAGTAATAGTAATAGTAATAGTAATAGTAATAGTAATAGTAATAGTAATAGTAATAGTAATAGTAATAGTAATAGTAATAGTAATAGTAATAGTAATAGTAATAGTAATAGTAATAGTAATAGTAATAGTAATAGTAATAGTAATAGTAATAGTAATAGTAATAGTAATAGTAATAGTAATAGTAATAGTAATAGTAATAGTAATAGTAATAGTAATAGTAATAGTAATAGTAATAGTAATAGTAATAGTAATAGTAATAGTAATAGTAATAGTAATAGTAATAGTAATAGTAATAGTAATAGTAATAGTAATAGTAATAGTAATAGTAATAGTAATAGTAATAGTAATAGTAATAGTAATAGTAATAGTAATAGTAATAGTAATAGTAATAGTAATAGTAATAGTAATAGTAATAGTAATAGTAATAGTAATAGTAATAGTAATAGTAATAGTAATAGTAATAGTAATAGTAATAGTAATAGTAATAGTAATAGTAGTAATAAGTAATAAAGGTTTGGGAGGATTTTAGTATAAGTAGACATGAAGGGGGAGTTAGCAGTAGGCTTTTAGACATTTGGTCTTGGGACTGGGAAGGATACGAGACTGAACATCTCGATCTTTTGGGGCTTCGGCTTTGGGGTAGACCTGGACTCGGGCCGGTTCGGGCCCGGTTCGGGCCTGGGCCCGGCCGGGCCTCGGGCCAGGATAGTTGGGCCCGGGCCCGAACTGCCGGTGGGCGGTTCCGGTTCCGGGCCAAACCGGGCCGGGCCGGGCCTACCCGGAAATATTTTTTTTTTTTTGGCTCTTCTATTTAACCCCCAACCCCTCCCCCTCAACCCCAAACTACCCCAAACCACCTCAAATGGCCCAAAATACCTAATCCAACCCAAAACTTAAAAAAAATTCAAAAAAAAAAAAAAAAAAAATTAAAAAGCGAACCGAACCGGGCCCGAACCGGCCGGGCCGGTTCGCCAAAACCTCGGCCCGAGCCCGAACCGCCCAGCAGCCGGGCCGGGCCGAACCGAACCGGTGGGCCCACCGAGCTCCGGGCCGGGCCGGGCCTCACAGTAACCGGGCCGGGCCGGTTCCGGGCCGGGCCGCCCGGCCCGAGTCCAGGTCTACTTTGGGGGCTTCGGCCTTGTTCATTGTTTCTTTTCTGTAATCGATATTTCTTGAATAAAATTCTTCATCTGATTTCTTGTTACTCTTCTTGTAACTGTTCTGGAATCTGGAGGTCTCTATCATTTGGTCAATTGGCTCAATAAAGAAAATTTTCTAGGTATTGGTCTGGACAGAGATTGATGAGGATGAAGAAGGCTTGAAAATGGAGATGGGGAAGAGATGGAGGAAGATGCGGCGTGGCGCGGCACGGCGATTGATCTGGAGAATCGGGGTGAAGATAGATGGACGGTGTAAGATGTTTTTAATGGGCGGTGCAGATGCGTAAAAACATTAGGCGGGAGAACTGTTCAATGAACAGTAATTTTTTGTTGTGCTTTTATTATGTACAACAGTATAGGACAAGTATTTCTATGTTCTTATAAAAAATGTGTCTTACACTCGCATTAATATTCCATAATATGTATTACACCATAAATTAAAATAAAGAATGACTATCACTTCATTAAATAATAATAATAATAATAATAATAATAATAATAATAGTACAAGAAGTAATAAAAATAGTAGTAGTAGACAAATCAAACAATTAAAAATCTAAAACTAAAACTGAACAACTTAGAAGGGAAAAATGGATGGAGCACAAAGGAACACATCCTAAATGACAATCACTTGTGCTGTTGGAGATACAGCCTTCCCCCTCAATTGCTGATGGATTGTTTCTAATTTGCTGTGATCAAATGTTACAGTATATGGTGGATTTTCCGACCAAGTAGGCCCTCTGTAATCTTTTCTCTCCTCCCACCTTCCTCCTCCACTAGCACCAGTATACCACCTATAATCCCTGCTTAACACCATCCTCTCAAGAGCCAAAGCACTTTTCAGGATATATGATACCAAATCAACTTCATTCTCCAAACCAAGGAACCCACCAAATTCTACTTCTTTAAGATGAAGATGAAGATGATGATTTCTGAGAGGAACTCCATCTCCAATAAAAAAATAGTCTCCTTTTCTCCCCCTTCCCTGTAAACATGGAAACTTATCATCATTACCCAGCAGTGACTGTTTGTTGAAGAACTAAAAACAAACTGATGGTTTCCTGGTAAACGATTAAGATGTTCTCTTGCTTGTATGTACAAGTATAGTATAACAGTGTTCAACCCACACACACAAAAAAGGGGAAAAGGAAGAAATGTTTCATAAAAAACAACCCCCAGTTTTTCAAAAGATGGAAGTCATTTTTGAGAAAGTTGTATTTGTGTGCCAAACACAGGAAAATACAGAATGCCTTCTCCTATATTCTGTCAAGGGCCTTGGTACAAGATCTTGTCCAAGGTTGCTGAGAATTGAAAGAGGGATGTAGTGTCTGGAATTAAAAAACCAAACATTCTGCCCTGGTCAAGGAAGGTGATCAATAGTTCCACCAAAAGATCAAAAGATTATATATTCCCAAAGCCAATAATTTAACTATCTTTTGCCTTATATAGGCAAAAGATAGTTTCCTAAAACAAGAATAGGAAAGAGCCTTTAACTACTATAGTCAGGAATAAGAAGTTAACTAAAATATGGAAAGCTAATTAATAGGAAGCAACTGAAACAACAAATGCTAATTAAATAGAACAGACAGAATAATTTCTAGATTAATTAATTAGGATCCTTTC